TCATCAGGAGCTGCTAAATTCATCTGCCCAAGCAACCGTGTCTCCATATGAACTGGCTTCTGGACACTCTTGCAACTCAAGGGAAAGAACAGGTACTCATGAAGTAGAAACCGTATCCAGAAGTAGATGTCTACAACAGGTCAGGTGAATCAGATTCCATATGTTTCTGTCTGCTTGTTTGAAGGGGGTCTAACAGGCCAAATGTACAAACAGCTGCGATACCAATGTCTAATGCCTGGCAAGATGTTCTGATGAACTTTATTCCTATGCTAAAGGAGTAACTGCAAGATCCAGCTCTTTTCAGTAGTGCTGAGAATATAAAGCCCAACTGCATCTCCCCAGAGTCAAGTCCACTCCTGAATCTGGGCCTCAGGCATGAAGGGCATCACTGAAGATCTGTGAGTGCCCACAGTGACCAGCCACAGCTCCTGTCGAAAAGTTGCTCCAGGCAGCCTCTAGGGCTGTGGGAAGGAGGCACAACGTGAGAGGCTCATGACATACCTACTCTCTTCAGCTAGCTTGCAGGCCGACCCCAAGCAAAATATACAACCTATTTCATTTTAGGAACCCAGAAATGGCCCAACAGTCGCTTTCTTTAATTTTTTAAATTTTATTTCCCTTTCTTCTCTTTCCTTGTGAACACATCCGTAGAAATATACTTTTTCTTCAGCTGGTTGAAAGCAATGATTTTTTTCTAAAAATCATAGGTAATTTATGAACTTCTGGGCTGCCTCCAGTATTTCAGCGCTGGCTCTGCCACCCCGCCAGCGGCTGACCGCACAGCATGGGGCCAGCTCAGTGCTTTGAACTGAAGGACTGGGCTTGACACTGCAAACAAAGGACTCTTGCTACTCTCTCTGACACAACCATGGGGCTTCTTTTATTCTCTGTAATCTCTGCAAAGGCAATTACCTGTCCCAGCTGTAAAAATATTTATAAGGTTTATTCCAGGAGACTCCAACAAAGGCCCCGTGTCACTGGGCTGCCGAGGCCTCTGCATCTGAGGCCAGTGCTCTGCTCTCTCAGGTAGTCAGCCTACGCCATCTTTTTTTCATTAAGTTTTCAGACTCCACTTTAATAGCAATTTAGGTTTTCCTCTCTCCTCTCCTCATGGGTTCTAGCAGAAGGCTTTGTCCAGACCCTCATGTCTGGAGGACTGAGAATCCATTTCTGGTTTCTGACCCGAGTTGACTCATGGACAGCTTGCACCCATTTCAGCTTTTTGATGATGTTCTTTACTGGACTCCTCATCCATGCCCCAGTGTATATATAAATGACAGCCACAACATCTCTTAGCCTCTTTTCTTGATGGACTAAACCAAGCTAGGACCTCCTGGTCTCCTCTCATTTACCAGGTTTTCCCATTGCTCTGACTGGCCTGGTAGCCGTTTTTCAAACCTGTTCATTTTGAACACAACTTACTTCAACAGTGGTGATCAGAGCTGTACATGGTGGTCCAGGTGGGCTCTGAAGTGTTTTGGACAAGGGTACTGGCAGCCTCTCTATCACTTTTGAAAATATCTTGCCTGAAGCATATCATGCCCACATATCACTTTTTTTAAGAGCCACACCATCAAGTGGGCTTTCAGTCATCTTGTGAGCAATTAACACGTAATTTTCTGTCCTTTCCAAACCACGGGGCCTCAGAAGACAAACTAATAACAAGGGCTTCTCTAAGTACAGGAATTGACACTGTGTACACTTAGATTAGCATTACTCCAAGTCTAAAGATGATTTGGTTTCTTGTCTATATTTTTTTCCTTGGACTGACGGCTCCTCATTTTGAGCATATTTCATTAGTATACACACCTTTTTCTGTGCCAAGATCCTTAATGAAAATATTAAACAGTTGACAAAAACCAGCAGGAAGTTGTTACTTGTTTATGGAGCTTACATAACATAATAAGAATAGAGAAGAGCCCAGTAACTGTAACATGGACTTTCCGGTGCCTGTATGCTCACATTCAAAGAGGGACTTGCAGAACATGCAGAAAAGCAAACGAAACAGGTTCTTTCAGGATTAAAAAAAAAAAAAAGTCCCCTTTAATTTCTGAATGATTAAACCAGAATGAGTGAAATTGTTAGATGCTCTTTGACTGCAGAGGAATGATAGCTCTCACAGCTGGTTACTCAGACTAACCTGAACAGAAGTGAACAGTGACCTGCACAACCTATAATGTACTTTGCATTCCCTACTATACCCTAAGGCACATAGCACTCCAGGGTCAAAGACCTCACTAGAAACTCTGAAGCAACCTGGCGTTTTTAATCATGTAATCAGCCTGGGGAGGAGAGCTGCCCGCTACCAAATCTTTTCCTCAACCACATGGCCTTTTAAAAATGAATGCTCTCAATCTCCCTAGTCATTGTATTCACAGATGATCACTTTGTCTCTTTTTAATGCAAGGATATTGCCAACTCTTTTCATCATGGCTGAGGTCTCTTGGAACAATGTCCTCCAGCCAATGATCCTTTTCAACCTGCCTACTCCTATCAATGATAAGATCAAAGCTATCCACTTGAAAGAAAATCTTTAGGATTTAATTGGTGTTTCCCTTTGCCTCATATGCCCATGCTCTGGCAAAAGTTAAAACTAAAACCCATGTGTGCTCACCCACGTAAGCATTCAATGCCAGCTACACGCAGGTCATCGGCTCTATCACAATGTCCCAAATGGTTCATCAGAAAAAAATCTCACTACAGATGAGCTGTCACTCACAACCACCAAGTAAACAACTTGGTTATACCCATTTGTAAAAGATAGTGAAGGGAATACGCTGATTCTGTAGCTATTAACAGACTCCCACTCATCGTAGCCAAGCTTCAGTCATTCAGGTCTTGGCACTCCAGCAAGATGCCTACACTGGTGTAAATCAACAGTGTGAAAATCACTGCATTTGTGTGAAAGAGACTTTCACAGGTGTACCTGTACCTTAAAGCTTCAGCACACTCTTGGCTACACAGCATGTTCCAGTTTTTGTGGAGCAATGCAGTTCTCCTCCTCCAGAAAAGTATTAAATGTCAGATCGATCCTAGAAGATTAGCATATCTGCTCCTCTTCTGTGCATGAGGGAAAAAGTTCTTCAATCTACCAGTCTTCAATTTACAAAAGGCTGGCAGTTCTCAACTACCGTAGGAAGAGGAAGCTAGAAAGACAGCAATCAAAAATGCTGTTTCTCTTTCTGAAAAGTACATCAAAGAATTAAACATACGGAACAGGGTGCAGGTCATTCTTATCTGGCAAAACCAGCAGAGAGTTCAGAAACTCCTACTGAGGATGATTCTTAGAGAAAGTATGCATCATGAGAGCCAACTTTTGTATGAAATATCCAAAAATAGCAACGGTGGTTCTTTATAGCTGCATGTAAATCAATTTCCACAATATTTTACTACACTTTTAAATAAATGACAACACACGTCTTGCTAGGAGAAAAAATTACATTATGTAATGAATACTGTTTTAAGAACAAACATTTTCAAAGCATTGATTCTGCTGCAAACGTTATGGTAAGGGCCCATCAATGAAATGGCATTATGCCATTAACAAGGGGAGTCAGATATATTTATTACCTTTAGCTGGGAAATTATTTCCAAGGAGAAAGCAAAAGTGCCTGTTTTCTATTCCATCGCGATGCTGCAGCTTGCAATAATTGTAATAATAGGCCAAATTTTGCCATGCTTTCTCCTGAACATCAGTAGTAAGTCATTCGGTCAGAAACTCTGGGAGGCACAATTTGGCTACATATGGTACTAACATGACATTAAAGAGACAACATTTCCTACCTTCAGCTTTTATTATTTATTTTTTAGCTATTTCCTCCCAGTAGTAGAAAATTAAGTAGCTACGAAAGCTAGGTTATGCATAAGAATGTCAGCTGTATACAGTGGTGAATATCCTTGGTGAAACACACGGCTCCATTCATTGCAAGTAAAGTTATTTATGTACAAACAGATGCAAGACCAGGGTGTAAGGCTGGGCAATGGGGGCGGGCTGTGTGACTCATGAGGGCTGGTATTTTCAAGAATGCCTAATGATGAATACGACTTGTTTGAAAGAAGCTTTGGGGACTCACTGGTATGAAGGAGAAACTATGCATCTGGCAAAAGATTAAACACTCTTACGCTCTATTGACTTGGGGAACTGGGAAGTTTCAGCAAATGGCAGGATCAGGCCATTAAGCAAACGGGTTTCACAGCACTCGCTAGCAAGTGAGAGACCCCATGAACTGCCTGCGCTCTCTACTTGTACGAATGCAGGCGAGGCCACACCATTTCATGAACCTTCTGTTCAAATGCCATAAATTATAAGAACACTGAACATCCTACAACGAGGACAGTGAATGCAAATGTATGATTTGCTTGCCCAGTATGATTGCAAAAAGAGTGCTGGGTTAAGCCATTTCCAAAGTAGAGCATGCAAGGTACTATTTGCTGTCATGAAGGGTTTGTGGGTCTGAGCTTTAGTTTGTGCATATACTGCTATAGACCGGGACAATGAAAAAAGCCCCAATTTGCCAGCAGTACGAAAGCCTGGGTAATGCTGCAAGTTAAATCAGCCATATGCTTTGAGATTAGTGTTTGAGATTAGTGGGGAAAGTTGATGTTCCAGGGAGCCTGCAAACACTTTTGCTATTTGGACTTCTACCTAATACGGTGAAAAAAATAACAGGGATGAATGTCAGGCATGGTTTGTATGACAAGATTTACAGGGCCTGCCTCATATTACCTATCAGAGAGGCAACAAATAGTACTTGCTGATCTGCAGTTAATCTTACAGGACTGGCTCAGAAACCTACCAACACTAATAATAGACTGCGTGTGCTGCCGTCAGTAGGTTCATGCTGAAAAGCACTGAGGAGCACAACTCAATGTTAAAGCAAGCATAAAATAACTCTCATGTTGGATAGACTGCGCCTTTTGGTTCATTAACCGATGCCTGCCAGTGGCTACCAAGGAGTTGGCACAACGACAGCACTACAAGAAATTAGGCTCGCGGTTACCTGATAGATTACGACCCGGAATTTGTTTTTCCTTAGCATCTCCTCTTGTTTGGCTTCCACCTTGCGCACGCTGGCACTCTGCCTCTCCACGCGTGCCCGCACCTCCTTCACGGTGGAGCTGACTTTGCGGGTTTTCTCCAGTAACTTGCTCACCGTGTAGCCTGTATTGCCGTGAGACTGGGCAAGCTTTAAAATGTCAATCTGTATGGTCTTGATGGCGTTTTCCATCTCCCTGTGCCTCTCCTCTATCCTTTTCTGGCTCGCCTGCACGCTGTCCACAATGTTGGCCACTTTGTCCAGCACTGTCACAATCGTGTAAGCTGCATCTTGCTCTTCTTCCTCCTCAGTGACGCTGGAGAGACGATTTTGGTGGGTTTTGTCCGCCTCCGAGGTGATTTCGCGGCGATCCATTTTGCCTGCCTTGGGCTGGGTTGGCGGGAGGCGAAGCTTCCGTGATCCTGCCAGGACAATTCTGGCGCTGCTGCGGGGAGCCAGGGCGACAGCTGGCTCCGGCGATGCTCAAAGTAGGGCGTGAAACGCCGCTCCTGGAGCTTGGTCAAATACTTCTGACTACAAAATATCCACACATGATTGTTCGGATACTTTCAGCAACATGAAACCCCTAAAATTAGGAAGCAATGTCTGGAAAGGAGCATACGTTTAAAGGGTCACGCTTCTGTACTGATGAAGTATTAGTGTTAATCCAGGAAAGTTAAGTAACTTACTAATTAAGCAGGAAAGCAAACTTGCATATTTTTAACGATCTACTTTTGTTTTGGGGTTACTGGAGTGCTTTCCTCCGAGGGAATTCAAAGAGCAGTCAGGAAAATTAACACGGTTGTTTTTTCCAGCAAAACAACTTCAGGTCTTCAGCTTGCTGCAATTACCACATGGGGTAACAAATAAACACACTAAACCAGAGGCAATATAGTGAAAACGTTGTATTGTGACATGCTTTTCCAGTTCAAAATGTTGAAAGCATTTTTTTTTTTTTTATTGAACAAATTATTAAATCCTACATGCAAAATTTTGAAAGCCTAAACTACATGGTAAAACAGCTGAACACATCCTATTCACACTTTATCTCGGGATCTTTCAAACGACAACTAACAGTCTATTAATATAACTATGACCAGCAGACTAATTTGGATGGACTTCTTTAGCTCTTGAAAATACTCTATACAAGAGCACTAGTAATTCATTCACTTTTATTATTTTTTTTTATTTTAGTCACAAACACTATACAATCCGTATTGTAGGTGTTAAAACATGTATTTTCTTTAAAAAAGTTTAAGAAGTATTAAAACAGCTTTAACAGTGATAAAGTAGGCTTTATTCCAATTATTCGTGTTCAATTCTTCAACACCAATTTTTACAATACCTAAATCTACTAAGACCTACTTCTTTTGGACCTGTGCCATCTGCTCTACCAGGTAACTTCCCCAATTATGAAATTTATAATTTTCCTCTTTAAAAATAAATTGTTGGAATTATTTATGAAGATGGCAGTGCTTAGACCCAGCCCATACATTTTATAAATATGTTACAACTACACACAGCACACAGCTTCACAGTTCATGCGATAGGCAGTGTCTAAAAAATCAGTTACTAACTTCCAAAAACATTTAAATATCTACGGTATTTAAACACAGTGTTTTCTAGTTTCTCATAAGAAAGTAAGCTGTAAACATTTTTACCTTTAGTTCATGCCTTGTTTGCTAGGTAATGTGGACTTTTTTGTTGATTTGTTGTTTTTCTTTTTTTTTTTTTTTAATCTACAACCATTGGTGGAATAAATCTGTGTTCCCAAAAATATTACATTCCATGGATAAAGCACAAGTCTATTATATAACCATGTGATACAGATACAGAAAATGAACTACTGTATTCAAAAACATAAAAGTAAAGATACTAAAACAGTCCATAGCTGTTAGAGCTGATGCTTTCAGAATACAGACCAACATTATTACACTAAAAATGTTCAAAAATAAGGCCTCTGAAATAAATATTTCCATTCTTTAAAAAAAGATATAATAAAAATGTACATCACATGGTCAATGTAGGTATAAAAATCACTAAGTTAAACCATTCTGGATGATGTATCTGAAGTAAAATGGCCTAGGTTTTGCTTCTGCCGACGTCCTCTATTGTTTTTGGGGCATTTTCTGTTAAAAAAAGAGAAAGAGAAAGAAAAAGGAGGGCTGGTTTTATATATGCAGCATAAAATTAAGCCTAGCAGTAACACATTGACTTAATTTTCCGTACTTAACAAGAGCAAGGGCTCTATGAGCTGTGCTGACTGGGGGGATGCTCCTGCTGTTTGGTACCAGCCTGTCACCTGGGGATGTCCGTGGGACCCCAGGTCACCCAGAAGGGAGTTCTGCTTGAACTTGAGACCGAAACCAGCAAGGGGCTACATCCTTCAGCTTTGATCCAGGAAAACACGTACCATGGTGAATAGTTGCATTGGCTTCACTTTATACATATTTCATACTTCAAATCCAGTGGACGGTGAGACTAGATCAGCCAGCCTTCCGAAGTGCTGGCCCTCCAGGTGCCCTGCTGCTCGCAGCAGCCCCTGAGACAGAACCCACCCCGGGCTCCCTGTGGGGTGACTCAGGCCATCCCTTTCCTGGGGATGGACACGCAACTAAGAAAGGATTCACAGCAGCCACCAATTCTGAATGGGACGGGACTTACTCATCCCCTCAGACAGCAGGCAGCGTGCAATGGAGCGGTCCTGCTGGGATGCAGCAGACGGGCTGTCCCCGAGAGGCTGTGAGTTGGGGGTCAGGCGTAGGGAGGCTGAAGGAGGAGGGCTGCTGACCCATGGCCTTCCACGCCGCTGCTTTAGCCAGCAGGGTGTTGAGTAGAAAAGGGATGGCATCAATTGCATGGGCCAAATAACTCTTTTACGTGTGCAGGAGGTGTTAGATATGTGTACTTACACCTGCTACGTTGAACCTTACAAGAGAGATAGGGAAGGAGGCCTATATTGTTCGTTCATAGGGGTGTCACTCTACATCGCTGAGTTTGGGAAGCCATGCACTAATGCAGTTGCAGAAAGTTTTATGGCCCAGTGTAACCGGAGCTGAAAAAGTGAAGGAGGAGTTGAGGAGGAAAAGGCAAAGTGTGGCATGGATGCCCAACTGTAGGACTTAAACACTTCATGCACCTGTAAGGTAACTAAGTCACCCTTAATCTATCCCAGTGCCCTCAATCCTCGTTGGGTTCAAGTCCTTGATGAGCAAACTGAATCTCTTGTCATCAAAAGGAATCCATGGCTCTCATCTCAGTTTTCACACAGGGCAAGAGCCTGAGAGAACCCAGAAACTTGAACTCTGTGCTTGTGCATCTTTACATTTATATTCCCGAGGAGAATGCCTACTAATGGGACTAGCTGCACATCACTCTTCAGAAAGCATATGTGGTGTGAGGGATACTTCTCTCTCTGTGTAGCACCATTTACAGTGGTACTGCAGGGAACAGCATCTTGTCAACCTCTCTGGTTTCAGCGGGCGGGGGGAGGATCATAGCTTCTATAAGACATCAGCGATGCTTGAATAACTCCAGTGAAGGTCTAACACAGTAGCTGACCTTTTGGATGTTCTGCTGAGTATTTGGTCTGGGGATTCAGCGTGGTTACTGGCGGTTTGTGAATTTAAACCATTGTGTGTTTTGTGACATATAAACATGGCAATAGGGTGTTACACAATCCTTCTGCTTCAGCCATTAGATGTTTTTTTATGTGGGTATTTTAGGATATATGTTAAAGCACATAAAATTCTGGGGGTCAAATATTTAAATACAGAAAAAAGTATATCTGTACAATGTGTAATTTTTCACTGTTTTTGTCTTTACCTACCTGGTTATGCACATGACAATTGCAACTATAATGGCAATCTGTACAGCTCCAATTATTGCTGCAATAAGGACATGCGTAAGCTTTTGTCTACTTGGGACAACATAAAGAATACTAAAGTCTGTCTTTTCACAGTGCTGTCCAGTATATCCTGATTCACACCTGAAAAAGAAAAGGAATATTTCATGGAATCTGTAATCTGACAACAGCCCAGTCATTTTGCAGATGAAATAAGGAGCCCAAGGTAACTCCAGCTGTGAAAGAGCTGGCAAGAAGGAGGAGGTGGGCTAACGCTGGGGTTGGAGAGGGGTTTGGATTTCTGTGGCAAGAGAAGAGACAGAGCAGATATGCTCTGCTTTCCTGGATAAGGTTACTAGCAGCCCTCTGAAAACACACCAGTGTGGTGAAGGCCCTCATTTGGCAAAATAAATATGTGGGGTTGTTATTAAATTGAGGCAATATTTAGGAAGAATAAAGCAACTAGGTGAGACAAGCAGACCAGGCTAAATGAAACACAAGCATGCTCATGAAACACAAAGTGAGCATGCTCATCCAGCTGCAATGTCAATATGGGAGAGAAGCCACAAAGAGGAAGGGAAACCTTGAAAAATGGGGGAAAAGGAAGATGCCTTTCCAAGCTGCAGCCTACAGCAGTGTAATCCTGCAGAACCTATGGGACAAGACCAGCATCAAGCCCTCTCCTGCCTCATCACCAAACCAAAACTTGACAGAGGTTGGGTTAGAAAACCCAATGACCCACACCTGTTGAAGTGAGAGTTCATGGAAGAATCCATAAAAATTGGCCAGGGGTGGGGGAGAAATGGCTGGAGACAGAAGAGAGCGGCTGCTCTGAATGGTACCCTGCCTGAGCAAAGCAGCAGTTAGCTCAATGACAAACTCAGCAGAGGCTGCTCCTGATCAGCGACGTGTGTTGCGGGAATGCAAGATGTGGCACTGGTGAAGGTGGCACTGGAAACACGCTCTGGAGGAATTCATGTCACAAGGCAAGAGAGGCTGAAGGACAACAAGGAAAGGGAAGAGCCACCCAAGACACTGAGTATGCAGAATCAAAGGCCACCACTTACAGCCCTGAGCAAGTTCCTCGTACAGCTATCCTTGAAAACCCACTGATGTGAATGCATCATTAAGGACAAAAGAATTGTACAATTGCTGGAGAAGAATTACTCACACGCAGGCAGAGGAACAATCCTTTCGAAAACTGGATCAGATAAGCCCAAATGCAACACAGAATCAGTCTCACCCATCCAAAAGCTTTGTGCTAGAGTATGAATTAGTTCTGTTTGGAGGAGTGAAATAATTACTCCACAGACCTTCCTACAACTGCTAATGCAACTCCTAATCCGCCTTTGCATGCAGGGATAATGGTTGGGGCTTACATGCTCATAATCTTGTGACTCTACTTTCTCCAGCCATGAGCTCCTGTGCAAGGAGCTTTGGTTCAGACATGAAACAAGTTCCAGTAAGAGCAGAGTTGTTAAAGAAAAGCCTCCACATACTGTAAGTAAGCTTGGTAATGACTAGGAAGGGA